ACTCGACGCGCGTCGCGCTCGCCATGGGCCGGAGTCGCGCGCCGGCGTCCCCCGGGGCGCCCGCCGCGCGCGCGAGCGCCGCGCCGCGCAGGCATGACGGCCGTCGAGATCCACGCCGCGAACCGGCTGCGGAGCTGGGCGATGGACCTCTTCGAACGGGAGCTCTTCGGCCGCCTGGGCCTCGACGCCGTCGTCTCGCCGACGACGCCGATCGTCGCGCCGCCGCTCTCGGCCGCGGCCGCGGCCCGCGGCGAGTCGGACACGGCGCTGACCGTGAAGCTCATCAAGTTCGTCTTCCTCGCGAGCGCGCGCGCGCGTCCGGCTCGCGTCGTTCCTCGCGGCCGCGACGTCGCCTCCCCGCGCAGACCTCCTCGGCCTACCGAGCCTCTCCGTGCCCGTCGAGTCGCCCGGGCTCCCCGTGGGCCTGCTGCTGACGGCGCCCTGGTGGCGCGAGTCCGCGCTCCTCGGCCTCGCCAAATCAATGCCGGAGGTCGACGCGCCGCGGCCGCGCGTCTTCGCGAGCGAGTTCGACGCGCTCCTCGCGCCGTGACCGCGTATGTGGAGGCGGCTCGGGGCGCAGTCGGTCTCGCGCAGGAGCGTAGGCGCCGTTGAGACCTTAACGAACTAATCCTTACAAAACTTGGCTAGGTATCCGAGCGGCCCTGGCATATCTTGGCCGAGCGCAGCCCTGAAACTGTACCGGGAATCACGTTATTTCATCGCTGCGCGGCGCGGGCGATGATGTGCCGCAACCCAAACCGTGCGTGCTGACCTATTTTTTTTTTGTTGAACTTCAACTGCATAGGCCCGCGGCGGTTAACGCATGGCAGTTGGTCGGTTAACGCGCTGGCCGTTGGTCGTTGGTCTCATGGCTGCGGCTGCCGCGGGCGCGCCCGTCCCGCGGGGCCCGCTGGTCCTGCCCGTGCCCCTCGTGTTCCGCAACCCGGAGGCAGTACAATGGTACCATGCGATCAAGGCCATGGGGTGGCACCACGACCGGTTGTGCATGTGGATGGCGAATGCCCGAATGGAACTAGTGGAAGCGACAACTTTGCGGCTGGCGGCAGAGGCACGTGCCAAGCAGCTCCAGGACAATCTGGACAAGATAGAGAAGAAGAAGAAGGATGAGCAGAAGAAGAGGTACAACCAGAATAGAAATGTCAAACAAGCGTTGGATGGTGTGACCGGGAAATATGGCGACGAGGACGGCACCGAATTCATCGACCAGTCTCAGTGCTCTGAGGATCTGATCAAGTGGGGAAAGCAATGA